TCACTGCATGCGTCATCCGAAGAACTCGAGTGCGAAGGTCGTCATGCTTCGCTGTACGCGGGGCGTACTTCGGATGAGTCCGATGACTCGCCTTCGGATAATACCGGGATTTAATAATTAAATTTAATTATTAATTAATTAATAGACTTCGAAAATTCATATCTTCTTCATACGAACTCCGTTTTCGACGTTCTTTATATCCACGCGTAGGTGAGACTACGCTCTTCAACTTTCGTTTAGACTCCGTCGGCTAATTTTGAATTTTATTTTTATTATTTATTTTTAATAGGTCGGGACAGAAAATTTCGTTATAAATTCATAACTTCTTCGTCCGACGTCCGTTCTTGCCTAACTTTTCGTCGTTTCGCTACTAACAACGAGATCTTCGATTCTCGTTTAGATTGCCAAAACTAAATATCACTCTAACGTAAATTCACTTTTTACGTCATTCAGCATTGTGCCGGTTCTATCGCGAAACTTTAACAAGTCATAACTTCTTCGTTATAACTCGGATTTTGGCGTTCCTTATATGCACGGAAACCTTGTAACATATACTACAACTTAGTTAGGTTTATTCATCCTAAATAATCTTCTATCAAAAAGTCATTTTTTTATGCTTATTGTCTCTAAATTGACTAACCCTGATCTACGGACGTTACAAATAGGGTGGGAGGCAGGTGCTCCGCCCCCTAATCTCCATTTAAAAATAAACTCAACTATGGTATATAGAAATAAGTAGCCATTAAATTGAAGCCCATATCAATTTTAGTAAAGTTGCGCCCCCTCCAATCTTTTTATGGTATATAAAAATAATAAGGCCATGAGCAAACTAAAAGCCCATATACATAGCTTCCATTTTTTTAATTGCCAAAAGTCTTGGTATCCGTTTTATTTAATTAAACGATGTGATTTTAAATACATAGCTTAGTGTTGGCTACATTTGCTAACACTTACAAATTACATGACACGATTTTCGTTCTCTGATCAACAAGAATTAAGAAAGTAAATTTTAATGCATAGTACACATTTAATTTTCTATAATTTGCAGTTAGTGATGTTATTATCAATGTTAATTTTGTTTCTTATATTCATAAGATAAACCATGAGTAAGAAAAGAACCAAGATGTTCATGAACCACATTTGCATATTGTTAGTAATAATACGAGAGAAGATATTCATAATAGATGTCCACAACCTAACTATTAATATGTGCTTATGATTATTTGACAACTTTTGAAGATTGATTCTTTAGATATTTATATAACTTCTATTTAGATGAACTTTTCTTTTTCGATTTAGTTTCTAATTATGACTCTATTATGTACATTACTCAAATATAAAATATATTAGACTATCTTATTACATGTAAGCCCCCTTATTCTAAATTCTTGTCTTCGCCCCTGACAACGTGACCAACGAATCATGGAGTTGACCAAGTTTGACTCAAGGGTATTTTAGGAAATCGATACCAATTTAGATTGGGAAATGTTTTGATCACTAGGAGTCGAGTAGTGCGGGTTGTCAGAGAAGAGATTCATTCAGACTATGTTTGGATTAAGATGTGAGTTTTCCTCACTATACTTATGAGTCGAAGGCACCAAGGCTGGCCTATTGGATTGATATCCTGGTTTTTACCGTATGTTGTTATGCCATAGTGATCTGTTAGATCTGTATCATGGTATATACGATGTTGCTATGCTGTAGTGATCTATTAAATCTGTATGAGCACTTGTATATGCTAGCTATTGATTGTTATGGTATATGTTGATATGTGATGGTGTATCGGGTTGTGGCGGTCCCGCTTTGTCCTGAAAGCCAAGATACCTAGGGCGGCCCGGATAGACTGAAGGCCTGCGAGACAGACCGGCCAGACAGTCGGCTGGTAACTAACTAGTCAGTCGTAGGTTCGAATCCTACTTGAAAAGCTTCCCTGGACTTTTTTGACTCTCTGCTTACTCCAGCCGTAAGTAAACCTCAATTTGTCCGGTAAACTACGAAAAGTCTTTTTCAAAACCTAGCATTAAGGACGTTACGACGATATATGAGAGGAATGGAGAAAAACAGAAGGCCCAAAGAGCTATCTAGATAGGTTGAAGGCCCAGTGATGCGATCCATTCATGTTGAAGGCTCTATATGCATGTTGTTGTTTGTTATGTTTATGTGGTGGTACTTTGGGTGAACTCACTAAACGTTGACTTACATTTTTAGTTTTGTTTCAGGTATTTCGAAGGATCGAGGCAAGGTGAAGACGTGACCGTACACATCATTGGTTTCATGTTGTTGATCTTGAGAGACTCTGATTTTTAATAATATTTTGGAAACAGTGGATTTGTAAACACTTCTTTTTAGTGAATTGGTTGTTTTGAAAAAGTTTAAATTTGTTATGATTTTTGAGACATTACACTCTTAAGTCATATTTGGATATGAACTTAAATCTTAAGAGTTTTGACTAGTGTCTATATCAAGTTGGTTTCATGTTGGTGTCTCAAAGGTTCCACACTCTCCATCAACTTCCAAGCCTCCTAAGATGACCCGAAGAACTATAAAGGTTGTTACTTATTCATCTTCTTCATTGGTGATTGTTTTCCTTCCAAACTTTACAAGAATATCCATGGTTGGTCATTAACTTGTTTTATGTTATTCAAAATCAAAGTCTACCATTGCTAAATCTTATGTTTTTTAAACTAATTTTTGAATAAAACCCCAACACAATTGATATGGTATAATCGTCACCGTTATGTGGATTTTTGACATTTGTAAATCACATTCTACATACAAATTGCAAATGAGTTGCTTCATGCATGAAAGTTACATTATTTGGTCCCTTAAATAATTTCTTTTTATAACTTTTATTTTTATTAGTTGCAAACAAGTTTTCCGCCACAATTCACAGGATTACTTAAATACTAGTTATTTACAGTTATGATAAAGCTTGTAAATATTTCACTATGCAAACTATAGTTTTGTATGTTATGTATTTCGTGACACCTGTGTGATTGAAATGATAAAAGAAAAGTGGTTCTCAAGAATACATAAAATATCTTTGCGTAAGAGTCTTGTAGATAGGGTTTAAAACGAAAGGTCCTATTACGACATAAAAAAGCACTATCGAGATGATACCCTTTCACAAATTAAGTAGCGACCTAAGCTACCATATCAAGTTGATTGGTTCTTATTGGGATGGTGATGTCGAATGGAGGCGGTAAATAGCTACATTAACAACAATTGACGAATGTAAGAAGCTACAACAATGACGATAGGTAGTCGTAAGTGGTGTGGTATATAACCACAAACTTAAAGTACTTATGGAATAACGGATCGGGATGGCCCGATAGCTTTCGCATTTGAACGTTATCATGCATGAAATATGATTATAGTACAATCTTCATCAAATGTTTTGATATTGCGAAGTGTGTGAACCAATGTAGCTCATAAGACAATTTTTGTCTTACACATTTTGTTTATTGTCATGTGTCCCTGGTTTAGGTACGAGGGGGCTGAAAGATGATAGTTTGCAAAAGTAGAAATTTGGAAGATTAAAATATCGACGTAGTTTCTTTTATAAATGTAATGCTTTGCTATAATTTGTTTTGATATTAAGTTGTAATACACAATGTTGATTTATGTTTTGAAACAAAAAATGATTTTCTTTTTGTTGTACCATATTTTGCTAAATATGACTTTAAGTTATAAAATGTTCTAAAATCCATAATTTTTTTAAGTCTAGTATAGTGGGGTGTACATACAATACACCATAAACCCTATACTCTAAGAAACTCAGATATAGTCCATAGAACAGTTATGGATTGACCGACCGTAAGTGTGGCTTTCTTAGGTGTCTTGGTAGGTGTACTAGGTCTAGGTTCCACACAAGTAAAACAAAAACGATTAACATACCGATCTTTTAGATTCTTTCCCAATAAGGGGGTCTTTTTTTAAACTCATTCTTTGAATATTTGTGGCATATATCAGCCAAAAGGAAAGGAAATACATGTTAAATACAACATAGTTAAAAATATAAAAAACATCTCTAAAATATAACTCAAAATGCTACATTTTTAGGGTATATTTGGTTAAAAAAATGGCTTATTGTGTTAACCCATGAAATATAACAAACATATAACAAAAAACTCTTTATTTTTTTAAGAGCGACAAACAGACATACACTATATTCTACTCATAAGCTACATATATTGTACACAACATGACTTAATCCCAACATAAGGTTACGAGGCATCTTTCACCAACACTAATTCAACATAGAAACAACTATGATCTTAGTTTTGATTAGAATTGTTTAAAAGTAGTATTTCAGAATGAAAAATCCAAAAAAGACTTCGGAAATGAAAAAAAAAAAAAATATTACGAATTTAAAATTTTCACCAAAAACAAAGTATATTTGGATATAAAGACATGATCTGTGGTTTACTTGAAAAAACAATATACTAACATATAGGAAACAAAGGTTAAGACGTAAATACAAAAATAAATACAATGTTTGAAATCCGAGATGCACTCATTTCGAACGTACTAATCATTTCTAAAAATTAGAACTAATAACAGGCTTCACACATTAGTAAAGCTTTTTATGGAGTTTTTTTTTTTTTAATGAAAAAGTTTAAAGTTAAAAACTTATAAAATATTCCACATTAAAAGAGCTTTTTCAAATTGATTGTATAAGACGTCTAAACAAGTTGTTAATTTGTAAATTGTTAAAAACACATGGACCCATATAATAATTAAAATATTTAAAAAAATATTAAAAAAGCTTTCATATAATAATAATAATTAAAAAAAAAAAAAAAAAAAAAAACTATGTTTATAGCTTTTTCATATTTCAAAAAGCTTTTTCAACACGGTTGGGAAGGAGGGGGAGAAGGAGGAGCTGTCGACTTTAGTCTTTAGTTGGGAAGGAGGAGGGGGAGAAGGAGGAGGGGCAGTTGGAGTTCTACTTTTCAACACGGTTTGAGAGTGTACACAACCACATCATCTCCGTTGGGATGCCCAAAATTTCCAAGAAGCAGCAGCGAAAGTACAGAGCCTTGTCACCATATCATGTTGTAATTATTATTATACTCACTCGCAATCAGTTCGAGAATCAGAGAAATAGATTTGATAGTTGCAGTCGTTTGTGTCTGTTTTACTTTCTCGATAAATTCAAAATGTCGCATGTTAATCAATCACAGATTTGCACCTTGCAAATCGTCGGATCTCCAAAAACGAACAACTTCGGAGATGATGATGCCTTAATGAGATTCGCTCCTCACAGAGAGTAGGATTCCATCTTTTCTTTATGCTTTTCAATTAGATCTTACTTCTTTTTGCAAATTTGATTTCAGTATATCCATTCTATCTGTCGTCTGTTCACAGGGATGAATGGAAGAAAATGTTGACCAGTATTCCACATCAACTGCGGCCTCGATTCGACCAATGGTTACGAATAGTAGTGAGTGCATTACATTACGAATTTGTATTTCGTCTGTATTGCAAGGTTTATCAACAGGGAATTCTTCACTTAAAAAAACGATATTAATCTTAAACCTTCATTAATCTGTAAAATTACTTTAAAGTAGATCGCGATTCAACCGCTTAAATGTAAGTACTGTATTCCTGCTCTTGTTCCATAACTTGATTGATTTTGGAGTGGAAAGTAAAGCTAGGTTTGAATCATTTTCAACATGCGTTTTAGGAATAGAATTTCTGTAAGAAGATACAAGCAGCAACTTTGATCTAATCACACAGGTGCCAAGATAGTTTCTTTGATCTATAGCTATTCCTTTATACACCAAATCGTGTAGAGATACCTGGTACTTGAAGATCACCAAAGGCCAAGATGCTTATGTTAGATGTAGACCTCCTTCAAGGAGATGTTTGGGCATACTACATGCCCAAGAAAACCATGTGCAATTCTTACATGGTGACATTTTTTTATAGTAGTTTTCCCTAATCTTCACAGCCCTTACAACTTAAGTAAGTTGTATTTTTCAATAATTAAAAGTATCTAATTTATTCCAATTGTGTTCTGGATTTGAAACTAATCTTGGTAGCTCCTGCAAGGCTGGCAACTTCGGTAAGTCATGTTTTATAGTACTTAAAGTATGGGATTTTGGTTTCGTAGTAATCTATGTTGTAGGGGTGTTGTGGGTTTTGGATGATCTGGAATGAGGATAGTAATCAACAGTGGTGGTTGAGTATGACTGGATGAACCATATCTTACCAAATTCTGGCTAATCATCCACCCATTCTCCCAAAATTTGGGGGAATTAAACTCATTCCCTAATCACTAACTCCTTCTACCTTCCATTCTCTATCTTTAACCCCTACAAACTGGAAAAACCCTACTTTTAACTATTGTGTTCAAATTGAAAAGTTACAAAGTAAACTGTTTCATGTACTTTCAGGTGAAAGAGGCAATTGAATTGTCACATAAAAACCAGGATCCAACTAGCATGCAAAGGTAAGCACCTATACATTACACCTTGTAGCCATTCGTTGATTAACTCATTTGCTTCTTCGACCTAACAGGGAAGACAAATCTGAATCAAGAAGCTTAGAATTAAGGTTCTCAAACAGCATCATTCCCACTTTATTCACTGGCGACCACATACAAGCAATCGGAGGTGTCCCTTTGGGAGTAACTTTAGTTGAAAGTCGAACCAAGGAAGCAGTGAAGACAGGGCCTGAAGCCTCAGGAAAAGTTGAAATAATAGTTCTTGAAGCAGAGGTTGATGATGTCACAGGAGAAGATGTGAGAAATAACAGCATACTTGTTAGGCATATCGAAGGAAGTAGATCTATTCGTGTGGAAAATATATTCCTGAATCTAATTCAAGGCACTGCTATTTTGCCCATGGTTTCTTTCGCATGTAATCGCAAGTGGATGAAGAATTCCAAACTTAGACTGGGAGCAAAGTTTGTGAATAATTGCAATGGTGTTCGAGTCAAAGAAGCAAAGTCAGGGTCCTTTCTTCTCAAAGATCGTCGCACTAAAGGTGAGAAACGATATAAGTTTTCTTTATTTTCTGTCTTTTCTAGATTCAGTGCTTTATTTTCATTGATGATACTATTTCACAGTTCATGTATGGGATATTATAATTATTAATGAGAATTATTGTGCAGCATGCACGAAGCATTATATCCCATCTCTACATGATAAGATATGGCGATTACGTAAGGTTGATAGACACGGTTGTTTGGCTAAAAATATGGAACAGGCAGAAGTTATAACTGTGGGAGATTTTCTTGTTCATTTATTTCGACAAACTCAACATCTCAAGGAGGTATATATATATTTCTTTTCTTTTTGCAATATTTATCTACCCCCTCAATTCTAGTAATTCCTTATCTTTTTGCTGCTTAACGTATAACGTTACAGTATGTATAATATATGTTGGGATATTTCTAGATATTTGATCATTCAAATCACGCAAAAAGTTGGACGATTACAGTGGAGCATGCTCGAGAATGTCCTGCTAAACTGCAGTACTGTTCTAGTTTTGACCCAAAAACTAGGGTTTTCTTCAATGTCTCTGGTGAAGTGTTGGGATTATTCCAGGACAAGAGTTTTCTTTCTAGTGATAAACTCACACAGAACCAAAAGGCATGTTTGTTTTTTCCATCATCAAAATCCAAACACTAGAATCATTTTTTCTTTATATATAATAATTTTTGTTGCTTTCAAAATAATACATGGTTCGTGTTGATATGTGGTATCAGGAAGTAGCCAAGAATTTGGTAATTTCAGCATTTGAGAACTGGGGGGATGTAATCGATGTTGAGCAGGAGGGAAAATTTGTTCCAAAAACTGAACCTGTTACTCTCCGCACCTTTGGCAAGAACATATTCCTGGATGATCTTGACTTAAACATTGATGAAACTTGTTTATTTGGTAACATGGTATCTGATGGGAAATGTCCAGACCTAGAATTACTACCTGAATCTTTAAGGAGAAAGTCTAATGAGATCTATAATGGGTTTGAGAGCCTTTGCATTTCCAATCGGAGTAAACTAGAGGGTGATCAGAGAAATAGATTGTGTAATAGATTGAAGATCCTGTTTTGTGTTGTAACCTTCAAAATAAGATCCTTCCCTGAAAACGGTTTAGATGATATTCATGCTCATAAGAAACCAAGATTGTCATAGGGAGTTGTGTGTATAGACTATAGACTACAGTTGCTGCCCGTTTAAGAATGTGTGCAGTTATACTACAGAATAGCTGATATATAGATGACTAATGTATACGTCTTTCAAAGTTTTATAGATGACTAATGTATTTTTTCCATTTCTTTTTGTGCCACTAAAAAAATTAAATTACCTCTTCTTATTCCCCAATCCAAAATGAAACGAATTTTATTGCTAAAATTTGATGTTTCCTCCACTTCTTATACCCTAATTGATCGCGTTTAGCAGCACACAACATCATACATTCAGCCAACGACAGTTTGTCAAGTTGAAACAGCTGATTTCATTAGATCATTATCCAGATTACGATTAGCAAACTCAAAATCAAAACCAACTAGAGGAGAATCAAAGCTCCTTATTGCGTTATCGCTCTTCTTCGAGCTCCTTCTTTTCGAATCTACACGATAAGAACGGAGAAGAGGAGTTTCTGGATCCTGTCAATGCCGCCTCGAATCACAAGCCGGAGGAATGTTTCTTCAATCAACAAACGAAATTTGAATATGATTCACATGAGTTCCTTGAGTAGACTATGCGTCGCCATCCTCAACGCATATGAAATAGGAAAGCAGAGAAACGTCAATTCAAAACCATGATCTTCCGCCACCATCAACGGCTATGATACATGATTTCGGTTCATGGCGATGCCTAACTCTCGTTTACCCACTTAAATTTCCAAAAGGTTTTGTGAATCGACTATTTTCTACTTCTGATGGCTTGCAGACTCGTAGATTCTAGTTTCCCTTTGAAGGTAAAATGCATTTTATTAATATTTGAAGTTAAATTTGTTCATTTTAGTCATTGTTTAATGTTCCTTGGTTAATTTTTGTTTTAGGATCCCCAGTAAAAATGAATTTATAGACATAGATTTGTGTCGCTGTATCCAAGTATGAATCCATACTCTCGTTGTTTAATTTGGAGATTTAGTGTTATATTATCTCAATTTACATTATATGTTTGTATAAAGATATGCTCTTATAAAACAACCATTAAAATATTTTTATTAGAATTGGTTATTTTTCCAATATTAGGATGTTATGGCTTTCTGGTTATAGATATGTACTCCTCTATATGGTAAACAAGCCTGTATATTGTTTCTTTGGTCTCAAACATAATTGATGAATGAAGGTTATACCTCGTAGAGTGCTCTGTAGACCTACAATGGCAGAATCCTAATGGATGCACAAAGAAAGCCGATGAACTATGGAAACATGCAACAAATAATTATGAACTGGTCATTAAACTAAACTGGAACAGTCTACATGTAACTTTTATAAAGAAAAATATGTAGCTTTATTTTATTTATAAATTCACTTCTTCTTGTTTATGACTTTGTGATGAAATTAAGTTATAGCTCTTAACTACTAGGGACTTGCATTACAGGTGCTTCATTTAACACTTTTTAATATAGTCCCTAAAATTTTATATTGTTGTATACTTTTATTTATGTATATTGATTAACATCAACAATAGATGTTACAGGAATTAGGTGGAACTGTTCCTACCCATGCCCATGAAAAACAGACAATAGTGAGAAGTGCAATTAGTATTCACAGTGAGATATATATGTAAATATTATTAAAATATCACATTCTTCTTATAAGTTTTCACAATGAATGACTGATTATTTACCACATTTGTTAACTACGAAGTTTCGTGCAACAATACAGTTGCAATTTGACTTCTATAGAGCAATTTACAACCTTGGCAATGTTCTGGTCAATTTATGCAATCTTTTTCTCAATATAATAACATTGTATACTATTCAGGAAATTTGGTATTTTTGTCAAGAATAATATTTTTTTCTTGTAGTATGGATTTATAGAAGACACATCAAGAACAAGTAATAACAGTTGTTGGAAATGAGATTCCTTTCAATTGATTATACAGTCAATCTGCTATCTGTATAGCTGTTGTTCATGTATTGAAACCAAATTACTCAGTTAATACATATTCTTCTACAAGGCACTGATTACACCACTGCCTTGTAGCTTGTGTAGAAAATGGTAAATATTATTCATTAATTTACATAAAAAGATTGGTATTCAATTTTTTACTTTGTTTTGCAGCTTCCTTTAACCTTTTTTTATAGATGGATATTTTACATCCTCGTCAATGGGAAATCCACACTATGATTGGAAAAGATTTAACTTTGTTTTGAAACGTGAAGCGCTTCAACATGTATATGATTCTTTTGTTGTTGTTAAGTGTCGTTTTTGGTTCATGTAACGATTTTTACTTTCCAATTATTTTAGATTCATGATGATTAAAAAAATATATTTGAAGATAGAAAAAGTATCCAAGTTGAAATTCTGCAAAGAATGCTCAGACTTAACTTTCTCATCAGGTCCTTCATTCTCCATTTATACAATTCATGGATCATTTTTATTAGTACTTCCCATCTTCTCTCTTTCTAATTTTAATTAACAATTAAATTTTTTAATTAATTAATTTATTACTTGATCTTTTTTTCTTTCTTTTTTCTCATCATATTGCAGACACACATGAGTACATGGACATGCGGCTTAATATTATTCGCCTAGTCTCCACAATTTTCGCACGTGGTAGAATTTTATTTGTAACACCCATAAAAATTAGGCCAAATTTAAACTTTTTAAAACATTTAAAAGCCCTTAGTTATTACCAATTTATTTTCAAAACAATTCAATATCACAGTATCCCAGAAACATAGTCATAAAAGGTGAGGAGTTGTACGATCACGCTTTTGCCTTCCTGCGATTATCCGATGTACCTGAAACAATAAACTGAAACTATAAGCCCGAGGTTTAGTGAGTTCCCCCAAAATACCGATACACATACAATCCACATAACCATGTTAGCAATATCATAACATAACAAACTAAACAGCATGCAACGGGCCCATAGTTTTACAGACTGGATTACCCATGGGCCCACTGTGTGAGTCTGGATTGCCTTCCGGGCCCACAGCTCACATCTGGATTGCAACCGAACCCACAATACGAGTCTCCTTTAGCCCGTAATTGGAATGCTCCATTGACTTGATTACCCATGAGCCCATAGTGTGAGTCTGGATTGCAACTGAGCCCATAGTACGAGTCTCCCTTAGCCCGTAACTGGAATGCTCCATTGACTTGATTACCCCTGGGCCCACAGTGTGAGTCTAGATTTCCTTCCGGGCCCACAGTTCACATCTAGATTGCCATCGAGCCCACTGTATAAGTCTCCCTTAACCCGTAACTGGAATGCTCCTGGGTTTGTTGGTTACCACACGGAGTAGTATCACTTCAACCCATCCCACATAACATATCAACATATAACATAACTACTGAGCATGCAGATAATCATATAATAACACATGTAGTCCTATAGATCTACCTAACTGGCATAACCACTAGCATACAACACTAACTTCATACTCAACATACTAACACTTCTAGGATATATAACATATCCAATGGGCCAGCCTTGGTGCCTTAGACCCCTTAGTATAGTGAGGTAACTCACCTGGCACTGCTGAAGTCCTGCGGATAAAACTCTAGCTGTTGGTTGACAAATTCCTGAACTGCCCACATCAAACAATACCCAATTAATAATTGGGTTCCAAGCCTAAGGTCCAACTCATAGTACAAAAGCCCAATAGTCCAGTAATGGGCCAAAGCCCAACATATGACCTAATTTTCCAAATTAGGCCTAGACCTGTACATGGTCTTTCTTTAAGGCCTATCCAATTATTCTCATCCAATTCTCATGGCTCAATATCACATAATCATAAAGACCCAATTATGGCCCATCTATGGCCTAATTTTCCAAATTGGGCCCAAGTCCTCACATGGGCCTTATCCTAAAGCCTATTTAATTATTTTGATCCATTAACTTGTTCTTGGATTGCCCAATCGCTAAAGCCCAATAGGAAGGTCCAACTCAAGGCCCGAGTAAGATTAGGGCTTTCACATGAAATGATGATTAGGGTTAAGTGTTTCTTACTTAACCCATTAATGACTTAATCCATTAAGTCCATTATTTCCTTAAGTTAGTTTGCAAATGATTATTATTTAATATTTCAAGTTTATTGAATAATTCCCATGTGTGTGTCCCGATCAATTTCCACAAGTTAGGGTTTTATGCCCTTAGGTTTTTTTCCAAACCCCAATTAGGGTTTTCCAACCCAATACTAGTTCATTAGTTCATTGGTTGGGATTTTAGGCCACATTGGGCCTTATTGCCCCATTAGGGTTCCATTGGGCCCACTAGTGTTTCTTGATGGGTTTTGGTCATAAGACATCCTATGTGCTCATACAAACCCTAATGCTTGGATCTAGGTTTCTCTATTGTACATGCTTTAAATCCAAAACTATAAACCCTAATTCTAGCATGCAAGTAATCATATTAACATAAGAATGAGTTTATAATGTTACCTTGATTGTTATGTAGCAATAACAATCCCAATCCCACCTTGAATTGACTTTGGAATGCTTAGAGTCACAAGTGTCACTCCTCTAATGGCTTACAAACACCAAGAGCAAATGGAGAAGGTATAAAAAGAGAGGAGAGAGGTTAGAATTCATCCATAGGACTCCTTGGGAAGGGATACATGAATTCATGAGCCAAGGGGTGTTTATATAGGTGTAGAGATAGGGTTTCAGTCATTATCCTTATCTAGTTGCTTATCCACAAAGCAACCCATAAGATAATCCTTGAATCCTTATCATAGTCGAATTCTAAGGCCTTATCACCTCAAATTCGTTCACCATATATTTAAGATAATCCTTACCTTATTTTGTAACTATCACATAATTACAAATCAGCCCCTCTAGTTTAATTAATTACACTTGATCACAAAATTAATTCCTAATTAATTATTGACCAATATTAATTAAACAAATATGATTTCTCCTTTAATATATTATTCTTATAACATATTAATAAATCATAATAACCTCTCTCTCTATTTATTTCTCCAATCAAGTTGCTTTGGTGAAGGC